CTTTTCCTAATGAATTTTAGACGACCAGGTTTAAATCGTAATGGTTTATGGCACCAAAAGGTTTAAGTATTTATTATAACATAGAAGTTAGGAAAACTTTGATACCTGACAAGTTTGGAAACCACTGAATTTCAAATGCAGTAAATTGCATTTTAGTATTTGAATTGGCATTTCTCTAGGTGCTGTTATTGATATTTACATAGTAATGCTAACAGCATTCTCCACCTGTGAAGTTCTGGGAAGTTTTCATTTTAGATTTGACTTCATGACAGGCTAACATGGAAATGCTTGAGGAAAGAAGTTTTTTTAAATATTAAAAGGGGAGCTTTTTCCTTTAAGGGAGAAATAGTTTAGTTTGGGGCTTTTGGAACGATCAGGTGGCTCAGTGAATTAGGTGAGTGAATAGAAATCAGGTGTGTTCAGTTCTAACTGGTTCTCTGGCTCTCTTAGGTGACCTTGGGCTGATTTCTATCATTTATCTCATCTGTTAAAACAAGGAACATGGTTATAGTTAAGTAATGGGGATGACAGCAAAAGAGTTACAAACAGTGAACTTTTACAACTATGCAACCAATACAAATTATAAAATTCTTGAGATTCTATCTTGAGGATGTAATATTATAGTCAGATAACTATAGAAAATGATGCATTTGAGATAGAACTGTGTTTGGGAGGTTGTAAAAGTGAATGTTTTCAGATAAAATATAAATTTGCAAGATTCTTTGTTAATATTCCTGAAACAAACAAACAAAAAAACTACTTCCTTATGGGAAACGGCAATTTAACAGAGTCTGTAAAATATAAAAATTTAAAGTCAGGTTTTCCCTTTGCAAAAATAGTGTTTAAGAGCATATATATGACAAGGTAGAACTGTCAATATTTTTCCTTACTTTCCCTATGTGAAAGTTCCTTCATTTTAAGAGGGGAGGCATTTGCCTGAAAATTAAGGGATCTTCATGGTTTTTGTCTTTGCCTCAAGGGGAGTATCTGTTATAGTTTCCATTGTAAGGGAGACAAGCCTGATTTTATATAAGTAGATTTGTATATCAGTATCTGTTTAATCTTATACTTTAGTAGCAAAAACCTTACCTTTACCAAGCTCTGGTTATTAAGCTCTATGAGGATCATATTCATCAACGAATATTTTCAGTATTCACTAGTGATTGACTGAAAATCTGCTCAAGCCATGGTCCGTATGCCAGTTTCAAAAAGACAACCTGGATTTCCTGGACAACGTGGGAAATAACTTTCCTAACTGATCCATTTGTTTTATAGAGAAGATCAATTAAGATAATATAGGACAGAATAGCATGGAAACTTACACACCACCATATGTAACATAGATAGTGGAAGTTTGCTGTGTGCCTTAGGGAACTCAAACCAGGGCTTGTGACAACCTAGAGGGGTGGGATGGGGTGGAAGGTGGGAGGGAAGTTCAGGAGGGAGGGGATATATGTATACTTATGGCTGATTCATGTTGATGTATGGCAGAAACCAACACAATATTGTAAAGCACTATCTTTCAATTAATAAATACTTTTTTAACAAAAAAGAAAGGAAAAGATAATAGGGAGAATTCAGCATAAAATATTTCAATAATCATATTAAAAAGAAAAAAAGCCTGATCCTTAAAAATATCTCCAGTGGAAACCATGCAGGTGCTAAATATCTTCCATTCTTTCCTGTTGGTTGCCAACCTTTATATTCTTTGTTGAGAGGTATATTAGGTTGACAGATCAAAATGTCTTAAAGCTAATGTAGATTTTAGCAAAGCCTTTGCAAATTCTCTAATGATAGCCTTGTCAATAATGTGGTGAAATGCAGGCTGGTTTGTGTTATTGTCAAGAGAGTTCAGGGCTAGCCAAACAGGACTTGGAAAGTTGTGATCAGCTGCATGATGTTAGCTGATAAGGTACTTCCTTGTAGAGTGCTTTAAGATGGTTCTTGCCTGTCTGCGCTCACGTAAATGTTCTCTTCAAATCTTCATATAGCCTTATGTATCTAAGACACGGCTCCTGGTTTGAGGCACAGTGATGAAAAGTGTCCCTCAGCATATTAGTAGGTGTTGTGTGGGGGAAAAAAAAAAAAGGTGCAGTGGCCAAATTATTTAGGGAACTCTGAATTAAAAAGGAAACAGGTTTCTGTACCTTACAACTTCCAAGAGTTTTAGCATGTGAATTTCCACCGTGAAGCTTCAAAAAAGGCAGTGAGTGATCATCCTTTCCTAAAGACAGTTTGGAGAAAGAATTTTTGGAGTGAAGTCTGGATGACGATGATCCTTTAGACTCAAGGCAGATGGTCCTGTTGTCTGGGAGACTGTAGGGGTGGGAGTGGGGAGGGGTGAACTCGTGGAGACCTTTGGTAAGGGTGCCAAGGCAGGGGTGATTTCTGGGCATTTGAATAGATGGTGGTGCAATTCACCAAGAAAGGGAATGTGGGGGGGGGGGGATGATACACAGAAGGTGCTCAGTTTTAAACAGGAGTAGACATATTTCTTGTGGTTTGATGAATTTGGGACTGAAGTATCTATCTATACCTTACCTATACTGTTCCAGTTTGGTATGGGGAAGGCTGAATATTCTCAGAAGTAGAAGCAGCACATGTTTACTGGTATTTTTCAACCCATGGCTATTACTAAATGGTTTTTCAGTAAGGTGCAAAAGGCCAGTATTAGCTGTTTTGGTCCCGTTTCACTATATTCAGTTCTTGGCTTTCATCCACAGTAATTTTTCCTGCTGAAATTATCAGACTACCTCTTCAACTTCATAACTTGGTTTACTTTCCACTGTTTTGTGATTAGGAATTTATAGAATAATGTTCTTTAAGTAAAAGCATGCTAAATAATTGGGAGATTTTAATGTTCACAAATTATTGGGTATTGATTATTTTATAATAGTTTAACATTTCTTTATTTGCACTATGCTATAATCTTGGGGTGCAGTGGTAAAGTTGATAAAGTTTCCTCCTTCTGGGAATTTAAAAGTCTAGTGTAGAATACAGAAAAGTAAGAAGTAATTGTGATCTTCAGACAATTTGGGCATTAAATTTTGCCAGAGAGCCCTGTGATATCTGATGCCAATTTATTTAGTAGAGTCATTATATTAGTTTTTCCATTTTAATATAATTTCTGGAGCAAAAAGTCTTCCTAGTCTCTTTTTAATGAGAAGAAGGTAGGGTGGATGAACATCGTGAGTGGGAGAGGGGGGGAAAGGAGTGAGAAGTCTAAAGTAATATCTGCGTTCAGCACTGCAGAAACTGCAGTCAGGACCTTTATTTGGGTCAGAGATTGTTTATACACCTGAAAGGATTTGAAAAATGCATACTTAAAGATTTTAAGAGTTCTATGCATGAAAATGCACAAATAAAATTTTATTGAGTGAATTAATCTTCTTTGAGAGATGTTTCTTTAGAGTGGTGCTTCTCAAGCCAGGGGTGATTTTGCCCCCCACGCCACATACCCCCTAGGGGCTTTTGGCAAGTCTGCAGGCATTTGGGGCTGTCACAGCGGGGCAGGAGGAATGCACCCGACATCTAGTGAGTAGGGGTCAGGGATACGGCTGGACATCTTACAGTACACAGGAGAGATCTCAGCAAAGCATTATCAGGCCCCCAGCAGTGCCATGGTTGAGAGACCTTGGTGTAGACATCTGGGATCAAATTCCAGCTCTGCTGTGTGGCTTCTACCTCGGTTTTCCCAGCTGTATCATTTGGGACAGTACTTCTGCCAAACTTGTAGGGTAATTTATAAGGGTATGTACATTAATATCTGTGAAAGGCTTGTAATAGGTCATTGAACCATATCATGCATAAGAATTATATAAACACAGCCTGTTATGATTATCTATGGAATAAATTTATAGAGCGAGCCAGTAGATAAGACGGTATGTCTAAAACAATCCTGGGGACTCCTTGAGGATGGGAGTTGAGCCTGTTTTGTTTATCACCGTAGATTCAGTGGCTAATTGTAGGCCCAGGATGCAACACACACTTGCCGAATATTTGTTGAATGAATGAACACATAAATTGTCAGGACCCATCTCAGACTTTCGCCATTAACTGTTGAGAATGAATCTGGCTGTCTGGAGTCTTTTCAGCAGAGCTACCACTAGGTCAGGCCGCATGTCAGAGTTCTTGCCAGGCCTGAAATACAGCCTGGAGCCCTGACATCTCAACTTGTCATTCAGCTTCTTTGAGTTATGGACTAGCTTAATTAATCAGGATATATGACTCTTCACTGTTCAGAAATGACATTGAATTATCTTCACCAAAATCTATTTGACGAAAATCTTACTGTTTTGAAAATAATCCTCAAGTTATCTGGCCTCTGATCTTTCAGGGGATGACTTTACATTGGGAAATGGTAACGTTAATTACATTTCCTCATTGTTTTTTAATCAAGTCACATATTAGCTATGGAAAGCAGCTTCCATATTCTGGAAAGACTCCAAAGACTTTGGCATTAGATTTAGTTTTAAACCTGACTTTGTCACTTACTGTGTCTTTGACCTTGGGCAAGTGGCCCACTTGGTTAAACCCTCAGTTTCCTCTCTGGCTGCATCAGGAGTCCCCAGGATTACTTTGCATATTAAATAAGTTAACATTTATAAATATTCTTTGTAAACTCTACAGGCTGTATGATAGCAAAGATGTTTTATATGTAAAATTTCCTCCAAACTCCGAAGGCTGTAGTATAGCAAAGATGTTACTTAGATGCAAAATAGTTTTATTGCTTGCTCTATTATAGCAAAGATGTTGCTTTTATTTAGATGGGAAATAGTTTTATCGCTTCTTATATTCTGGCTTCTGGACAAATTATAGTCAGGACTCTGTTGTATCAGCACCTAAAAAGGTAGTAACTTGAGTATAACTGGAAGTATTGCTTATCATCGGTAGAACATGTACTTATAGCTCAGTCAGTACAATTTCAGAATGTCTTTTAGAGCAACCTTGCTATCCACGACTCTAACTCGATTTTTTTTATATAAATTTTTATGTTAGCTATGGAGACCAAAGGCTACCACAGTCTCCCTGAAGGTCTAGAAATGGAAAGACGGTGGGGTCAAGTTTCTCAGCCTGCAGAGCGTCCTGCCCTGGGACCCGTACCCGCGGAGCAGCCGGGTGAGAGTAACTACATGGAGATCGTCAACGTGAGCTGTGTCTCCGGTGCTATTCCAAACAGCAGTACTCAAGGAAGCAGCAAAGAAAAGCACGAACTATTCCCTTGCCTCCAGCAAGACAACAGTCGGTCCGGGATTTTACCATCTGATATAAAAACCGAGCTGGAATCAAAAGAACTTTCAGCCACGGTGGCCGAGTCCATGGGCTTGTACATGGATTCCGTGAGAGAGGCCGACTACGCCTATGATCAGCAGAACCCCCAGGGAAGCGGGAGTCCAGCAAAGATGCATCAAAACGTCGAACAGCTTGTGAAATTCTACAAAGAGAATGGCCACCGTCCTTCCACGCTGGGGGCTGCGAGCCGGCCCCTGCGGTCCTTCCTGCCCGACTCTGGGGGCTCTGTTAACGGCGGAGTCATGCGCAACGTGGTGAAGAGCCCCATCCTGGGGCACGAGAAGGGCCCGGCGGTTTGCAGCCCTCTGACCCTGTCATCCTCGGGCTGCAGCCCCGCCAGCATCAGCTGCGTGTCCTCCACTTCAGCCAGCTTCGGCAGTTTCCCCGTGCACAGCCCCATCGCCCAGGGCACCCCTCTGCCGTGTTCCCCCAATGTGGAGACGCGGGGCTCCAGGTCTCACAGCCCAGCGCATGCCAGCAACGTGGGCTCACCTCTCTCCAGTCCATTGAGTAGCATGAAATCCCCGATTTCCAGCCCCCCGAGTCACTGCAGTGTGAAGTCTCCGGTCTCCAGTCCTAATAACGTCACTCTGCGATCCTGCGTATCCAGCCCTGCAAACATCAACAACTCAAGGTGCTCCGTTTCCAGCCCTTCCAACACAAACAACAGATCCACCCTGTCCAGCCCGGCCGCTAGTACTGTGGGGTCTATCTGTAGCCCCGGAAGCACCGCCTTCAGCTACACTGCTTCGGGCACCCCAGTGGGGGCCAGCGCAGCCCGAGATGTGGTTCCCAGTCCAGACACCCAGGAGAAAGGTGCTCAAGAGGTCCCCTTTCCTAAGACTGAGGAGACGGAGAACGCCATCTCCCATGGTGTGGCTGGCCAGCTTAACATCGTCCAGTACATAAAGCCGGAGCCAGACGGAGCCTTCAGCAGCTCATGTCTGGGAGGAAACAGCAAAATAAATTCTGATTCCCCCTTCTCAGTACCAATAAAACAAGAGTCAACCAAGCACTCATGTTCCGGCACCTCTTTTAAAGGGAATCCAGCAATCAACCCCTTTCCATTCATGGATAGCTCATACTTTTCCTTTATGGATGACAAAGACTATTATTCTCTATCAGGAATTTTAGGACCACCTGTGCCAGGCTTCGATGGTAACTGTGAAGGCAGCGGGTTCCCCATGGGGATAAAACAAGAACCGGATGATGGGAGCTTCTACCCAGAGGCCAGCATCCCTCCATCTGCCATCGTTGGCGTGAATTCAGGTGGACAGTCCTTTCACTATAGGATTGGTGCTCAAGGTACAATATCTTTATCACGATCAGCTAGAGACCAATCTTTCCAACACCTGAGTTCCTTCCCTCCGGTCAATACCTTGGTGGAGTCGTGGAAATCACACAGTGACCTGTCATCGAGAAGAAGTGATGGATATCCAGTCCTAGAATACATTCCAGAAAACGTATCAAGGTAAGTCGGGCTTTTTCTCCAGTTTTGGAAAACCGTGGCTGTGTAAAGTGCTGAAGGTTAGCGTAATCTTTGCTGATGATAAATTAAAACACATTTCAGTGTCCTGTTTGATTGTTTCCTTTTCAGCATGGTCATTCTACGCTTACCCTTTCACTTGTTGGTATGTTTGAAATCTCTTATTGTTGAGTCGCTAAGTTGTATCTGATTCTCTGCGACCCCATGGACTACAGCGCTCCAGGCTTCCCTGTCCTTCATTATAGAGAAACCAAAAATTTTGAGTCTCAAATGTTTACATTGATTTGGAAGGAGCACATGTACGCGTTGTATATAGGTCTTCTTCCCCTTCTGCCTTGCCGCTGGTAGGTGTTTAAGATAAGTTTGTTTCCTAATGCCTGTGTGCTTTAGCAGACTAGTGCTAGGGTTGTTGTTGTTGTTGTTTTTTTTTTCTTTAGCTGTATACTGGTTCACTAACATTGCTTTAAATTGTTTTCTTTGTGGTCATAGTCTTTTTTTTTCTCCTGAGTTTTCTTGATTAGTCACTTCATTGGTTGTGAAAAATGACATGAAACCCCAAATCTGTTAGCCACAAGCTCCCCACCCTTTTCATCTTTTTCTAGATTGGTTAATCATATGTAAGTCGGGGTCTTCAGCACAAATAAATCATTTCCTTAACTCTGAAGGGCTTTTTAAAGACTCAGCACATCTAAAATTACTAAGTGGCCCGTTTTGCTTTCCTACTCTTTGGAAGTGAAGTATGTCACTGCAGTTTTTCAGATTGGTATATTTATAACTTTTAAGATCTGCAAGGAGACATACTTTACTTACTGTAAAATATCTCTTGGCTTTCCTTCTTGTAGATAGCATATTGTATATATTTAGAAAAAACAAGGAAGAGGTTTCAGATACGACTGTAAAGGGTGGTTCTAAGTAATATAGTGAATACTTGTGTTGGACTTTGCTTCAGTACTGTTTTTATTACCTGGATGTGGTCAATGATCCCTTTATTGAACATATAAAGAATAGATTTCCTAGATAGAGGTCACAGTGGCTTCTAGGAAGATGTGGCTATTTTCCTTAAAAACTTGTTTGGTGGTGAAAATGTCCATTCCCATCAACAAAACGTAAGATTGACGTGTATTCTGTGTTCTTTCTCCTTTTGTTTTTTACTGAAGCAAAAGCAAAAACTTTTCATCTGTGCTTTCTTTTCCTGTTCATTGACTCATACCTCACTCCTCTTGCTTTTATGGAAGCTCGCATTCCATAAAGGACACTTACATGTTCTTACAGTTCTCAGTAGCATGACTAGTTAATCCTATGCTAACGCTGTTGCCCTCTCCTAAATTCTAAACTCTTTGCACAAATGCTGAAATGGCATAGCTTTCATCAGAACCAAGCTCAGCAGGTGCTCTGCTTTACTTTCTGAGAAGGATGGTCTGCACACAATGTAGATATTTTTGTTAAGTGATGCTTGTAGTGGGTTGGTTGGAGGGAGTTTGGCCTGGTAGTTAAGAGCATGGCTACCCTGGTTGAAATACCCAGCTCTGTCCCTTAACTGCTTTGTGACCCCATACACATTTCTTCACCTCTCTGTCCTTCCGTCTTCTCATCTGTAAAAAGGGAATTCAGTAGTACCCATCTCAAGGATAGTCAAGACAATGAGTTAAGTTATGAGAAGCCCTTTGACCATCATCTGGAATACAGTATGCATCACAGAGTATTATATACCGTTCAGCAGTTGCTCTTAGCATTTCATGGGATTGTTCATAACCTTTAGTTTCTATTTCTTTTAAGAGTGTTCTCTTTTGTGCATTCAATGAAATTCCATACAGTCTTTTAAAGAAATGTACAAAGTGTAAGGAAATAGTTGTTGATAAAAGTCCTGTGATTAATTTCTACTTTTTTATGGCTAGGCACTCTACATTTCTATTTGTGCTCTTTTAGTTTTGAAGCCCATTGCTTTGGGTAATGATATTTCTGGTAGAAACACTAGACAGATGCTAGCTAAAATCATTAATGCTGTTCTGTTTGTTCTGTGTCCTATTTATGCTGTTTTGTCATTTCCAGACTCAACTCATGATGCCCCTCTTGGCGGTCTCGGGACCCACAGCCTTACATATTCCTATGAATCAGTGACTTCAAGCCTCCTGTGCCTTTGTGGGAAACTGGGGTGTTGTCTAGTGTCTTTCCTTGAGCATTCCAAAATTCTTAATAAGCTTGTTAACATAGCTAGAGGGGATTCATTTGTTTACATATATACTGTTGTGTTAGTTAATATGTTTTCCAAAAACTTTACTATCAAAGCTTTAGTATTATTCAAAGGTTTAGATTACTGATCTAATTAGATTATATTACTAATTCCTTATAGCTTTTCCTTGTGAATATTATCCAAGTCTGTTTGTTTTGATCATTCTCAGAGGAAATACCAACTTTTTTTCCCTGGATTTCAGTCTACATTTTATAGTATTTAATTTAATCTCATCCAAGCTTCATTATTGGCTTCTTGTTTTGTGATCTTTGGACCAAAATCCAACTTTTCTGCCTACTTTATAATTTATGATGATGTTATCCCATTCCAGGTAATGTCAAATTAATGAATTAAAGATTGTAAAGATCAAGGCAGTATGTAACTGCTTCAAGTTTCATGACATTCTTTATCTTTAGGTTGAACTCTGTTTTCTAGTAAATGTCAAAGTATGGTTTGGAGTTTCTGAGACCTTTTCCAGGAGGGCCACAGACTCAAAAATTGTGCATTGGTAGATGAGCCATGCAAAATGGAAGCTAGACTAATGGTTTTACTAAAATAGTGCATGAAAAGTTCACTGATAAGCTTCAGATTCCATGTGGCAACTAAGCGTTAAGAGACCACTGACTGTCCATTTCCAGTGTACTGGAGGATCATGTCTCTCTGATCTGAGATGACCATTAAAATGCTTCTCCTTTTTTCAACAACATATCAGTGCGAAGCCAGATTTTCTTCATATCCTTGAACCAAAACACATCACCACACATTGACCGCAGAAGTAGATAAGAGAATCCGTCTGTCTTCTATTAAGTGAGACAATAGACTTGCAAAAATGTACAACAGTACCACTCTCCTCACTGAAGTTTTTCATTCTGGGAAATACAAGTTTATTTGTTTCTTTTTTTTTTCACATATGCATGTTTGTATTAACATGTGATGGCTTAGTTTGAGTGATTTAAAAGAAATATTCATTTTAATTTTGTAACAGGGTAAATATCAGTAGGTAGAAGACACATAAACAAAAGATCTTGACCTCAACACATTTTCAAGAGTGGAAAGGCATCCTGAGACTCAGAAGTTGAGAATCTTGGTCTCTCCTATGAAGCTTTGGTGGTTCATGCAGAAAGAGGATATTATGTGATTTGCCTTAGCTGAATTGAATGTTATGCTGAAGAAGGGGTGCCTTGTCCGCGTGAGGACGGTGATTCTCATCCCGGTGAGCTTTTCAGGCTGGTTGAAGGGAGTGGCGGCCACAGAGCGTGTATGTGCTGCAGCCTGCGGACGTTCTGCGAGAGTGGTGACCAGAGGCAGCTCTCAGACTGGCCAGCAGGTGATCGTCTGAGGGCCACGCAGGGAAGGGTAGGGTTGGCCAAAAAGCCTGTCTGGTTTTGTACCATCTTACAGGAGAAACCCAGACTAACATTTTGGTCATCCCAGTATATGATGACAAAAGTTGGCATAAAGCTTTGCGGTGGACCCTGGACCTGGTTTGGCCATACAGATGGAAGGTCCTCTGTGTACTTGGACACAGAGCTGAGAGCTTTGAGTGAGTGGCAACATCTCTCAGCCTCAGTTTCTTCAGCTGAGAGAAAATAAGTTGACCAGGATGCTCCCCGAGGACTGCCAACCACACTCCAACCACACTGAGTGGCTCTGTAGTTTCCTTGGAGTCATGTATGTTAAGAATGAAAATAGAAAATCCCTTCACATATTTACTAGCCTGGTTTCAAGTTTATCTTAATCACAAGTTCAGCTCTGTAGTTTCCAGGATAGTTGAAGTAGAAAAATATCATTACCGTTTATCATTTAAAAAGTAAGGATGAGTAAGGGTGACCTGTCATTTTGCTTGGAAAAGCCATTTTATTTTATTTTCAAATCAGAGCTTTCCTTTCATAAAACTTGACACTTATATGATGAGTTTCTTGTTCTTTTAATTTTGCAGTATTCCTTTTGGAAATAGGGTTAGTCTGTTGACATAACACTGGGTGTTTATGGCGATGGTCATAGTCACTTTGATAGCATCATAACACAGTGCTAACATTGACTTAAACGTTCGAATATAAAGTTCACTGTTTCAAAGGGCACGTTCTCGTAGGTTTCAAGACACGTAATCAGGAATTTATCTTAATATATACTGCAGTTTTTTTTCCATGATAGAAGGAAACAATTTAGTGATAACCTACAGTTGGCTTTCTTTTTTTTCCCAATGATCCCTGAAGTTTTTCAATACCCATCTTCCATAATAAGCTAAAAGCTTCAGAATTCAAAGAGTTTGTTACACAGTTTGCCATATCTTGTCAGTAAACTTCTGTAAATAAACCATTGAGGTAGAAGTATCTTCATGTAATGCAAAGTATGAAAAATGATGGGTTTTGGAAGGGAGAGATTGATTACTGGTGCTTATTTCTATAATAAATCCATTACGGAATAACTTAGGTCATTTGGAAATGAAAGCATGGAAACTTTCTTTTTCTTATTTGTCTCCTAATATTTTGATTTTGAAATTGCTAGTGTGCTTAGAATTTCTCCAGGTTAGTGTTCTAAATAGTATTTTTAGAAATGGTTTAAAAGGAGACTTGCTTCTTCTGATGATTCATTCACTTTCATTCATTTATGGTATTTCTGGTAAAAGTAGTGATAATTTTACTGGGGAAAAACCCCTCATTCCTCTTTAATAAGCAAATCACTATGCAGTGTCCTTCCTTACATTTTGCTTTCCACATCACAAGTATCCTAGATTTATATGTCAGTGTGTGTT